AGTTTTGACCTAGGCAAACCTTTGCTAAAAAAGTACACTTTCTCCATCAAAAGGCTTCTTCTATGATTGGAATGACCTGTTCGAAGCACGAATTCCTGTAGACCAAACCCAGTAACGTTACGATGTTTAATCGTACGGGAAATCCACTCACGATGCGGTACCGTTACGATTTTTAATCGTACGGGAAATCCACTCAGGAAATATTTTCTAATTTTATTATATTACCACCTTTTTATTACATAGATCTTTTTCAAAACATACTGCTTTTATAACATTATATAGACCCATTAAACACAAAAACTGCTCTGGCTCTGGCCCCGACCCCACCGGGGCCCTAGGCAGGCTCCCTGGACCTCATGCCCAGAGAACCCCCCCTTGAAATGACCTGGCTACGGGCCTGTTTCCCTGTACAGTATACCCCCACTTGCACTGTGATATCTAATTCACTCATTGATTACATGTACACTACTCGTCGTTCCATACAATAACCCTTATTTTGGGCATTGAATATCTTACGGCCGAACCGGACGCCATAGCTCTCTCCTAGGCCTAGATAAGTTATAAGTAAGTTTCAAAGGTTAGTTAATAATAATATTCAATGTTAGTCAAGGGGGCGACTTGGTTAGGGGACGACTTGACAATGGGGCTGCTTTCTAGGGGCGACTTTGTAATGGGTGACTTGAATGATATTCGCCATTTTCAATGTTATTTACGACTCAGTGAAACGCTAAGGTCTAATTGTGATACGTGTCATTCGACATATGTAAACGACGTGCTTATGACGTCCTAAATAAGCAAGGGTGCTCAACAGTGCTAGTACATTTACTACAGTTACTAAAGTAAATTTAACAAGGCTGTTCAACAGTGCTACGTTACTACAGTAAAGTAAGATCCGAAGTTAACAGTTCTTATACGTTGGACTTGGTGGAAACTTTTTTCTGACTGTAGCCGGTTTGGTGTGCAATATGGCGGAATCTGATAGTCAGACTCATGTGGTTCCGGTCCTTCATTGCGGCAAATGCTTACAGGAATTGAAATACGATGCGGAAATACAGGTGAATTATAATTTAAATTAATGATTTCCTGTTCGTGCAGCGCAGGGGGCCAGGGACGTAGCCAGGATTTTGAAAGGGGGAGCCGTTATGCGAAGTACGTATGACCCTGGTGGAGTCCAGGGGGCGAATTCCCCTATGAAGTAGCGCACTCTGAACGTTCTTAGGACTGTTTTGAGAGGATAAAGTGAAAATTGCAATATAAATTGTATTATAAATAAGCGCAACAATAATTATAGGCCTATAATAAATCAACAACCAGATCGAGGAATTCGAAAGAGAGGTGAACCAGGGAGAGACTTTCACAGACAGAGGTAAAAAAATTATGATTAGGGCATCTCTAGATGACCGGAAATTACACTCTCACACTTAAATTTGAATATATATTTTTTTTCCTTAAAAAAATGAATGGAGGGAAGGGGGTGGTGGGTCTTGAATCCACCTCTGATTAACATGAAAAACAAATGTATGTCACTTATAAGACATACATTAGGAGCCGACTCGATAGAGTTTAATGTCATACCCAGGGAAGGGCACAGATCTGTTTTGAAAGGTGGCGGGGGAGGATATTTTGTGAGTCAACACCCACATCAGACCCACCATGGTTGGAGCTGAGGTGAGAAAATTTGAGGAAATAGTACCTCTAGATGGCCAGAAAAGACACTTTTTGTAAAATTCATCATCATCACATACTTCACCATTAGTCAAAATTAAGCGCCAAAAAAAAAAATTCTCATGATCTTTTATCAGGGATTTTTGACAACCATAGAGATCGTATTATTGTGTGTGTGATATACCATAGAAAACAAAGCTTAAAAACATTGTCTTTGAGTATGTACTTTACATAGGCCTACTTCAAAAACGTGATTTCACAACCACCTCAGCCCCACCATGGTTGAGGCTGAGGTGAGAACATTTGAGGAAATAGTACCTTTAGGTGGTCGGAAATGACACTTTTATATAGTAAAATTCATCATCATCTCATCACCATTATATAGTCAAAATGAAACGCCAACAAATTTCCCATGATCTTTTATCAGCAATCTACTTAATATCCAGGACAACTTAGGCCAACTATCTTACTAAGCTTTAACTATATTATAATAATTATGATCAACAAATCACAACTTTTTTTTCGCATTTAGAACAATTTTCTTCATTTTTTTTGGTATTAATATTATTATCAATTATTACTATCGTCATCTTTATCATCATGATGATGATCATCATCATTGTTATTATTATTTTTACTATTAGTAGTAGTATTATTAAACAAAACTTGCAAAAGGATAAAAACGAAACTGAACCATTATACAGTATCGCATTTCTATTACTAGAGCGGCTAAGGAGAAAAATCGTGCACTTTTGGAAGAAAGCATGAAACTTTCCACAGTGATACTATGACACCTAAGGATCATTAAAAAAAATAGACCCCAAAAAATAAGCCGCTTAGTGGCCGCCATCTTCAAATTCAAAATGGCCGCCAAAATATTAGATTTTTATCAATAATCTTCATATCTACAGCACCTAGCACTGTCATTCAAAGGTCTTTACCTATGTTTTCAATATCAGGGAGTATCATGCAATCATCAAAAATTATGTCAGATGGCCGCCATATTTGATTTCAAGATGGATGCCAAAATATTGTTATTTTTGTCATTATCTTCATATCTACAGTAACGTACAGTAACACAGTCAATCACACCTTTAACCAATGTATATATATATATATATTCAAAGAAAGGTAAATTTAACTGTGTTAACGGCTATATTGATTATTATTATTATATACATATATATATGGTATATTATAT